CAAATAATCTTTGAATGTCGGCTAGGATTGTTCTCTTAGTTACAGTAGCAGCCATAGAAGGTGAGTGAAGACTATATTTAAATACATCCTTTCCCATGTCCCATTGTAAGCCTAGTGCCCGTATTATTCCATCTATCTTTATATCTAGGTGTACTTGAGAACTTCTTTCAGAGGGTTCAAATTGTTTTAAGAACTCTGCGTTGTTTGAGCACCACTTCTGAAGTGTGAAACCTCCCTTCTGCAAAATAAACCCAATCTCTTTCGCTACTTTGATTGCATCTTGAAGTGTGTCCTTGCCTGACATCAGATCATCCATGTAAAAGTCTTCCTTTATAATTCTGGTAGCATCAGAGTAATCTCGACCTTCGTCTTCCGCAACTTGATGCAAGGTTCTTACTGCTAAATATGGAGCAGAAGCAGTTCCAAACGTAACTCTCAGGAGACGATAATCTTGTACTGGTTGGATTTTGCAATTTCTCCATAATATCCTATGTAAATCTCTATCTTCTTTTGAGACTAAAATTTGACGGTGCATTTTTTGGATGTCAGCAACAAAACAGATCCTTTTCATTCGCCATCTCATGATTAAGCTTCTCATGTCGTCTTGCAACTGTGGTCCTACCAGTAGCTCTTCATTGAGGGAAATATTATTGTTTCCCTTTTGCGAAGCATTAAAAACTGTTCTCACTTTACTTGTTTCTTTATCTTGCCTTACAACGGCACGATGAGGAAGGTATACTGCTGGGTTGTTAATTTCATTTTCTGGTACTCTCTCTAAATGATTTAACTCTATATATTCTTGCATCACCCATGTGTATTCACTTTCTAAGCTTTGATCTTTTTCGAATTTCTTTTCTAATTGATACAAATTTCTAAGTGCTATATCTCTTGTTCTTCCTGATGGTGATAAAAGTGTTTTTTGTTTTGTTGGAAGTTTTACAATATAACGTCCTTCTGATGTTCTGTGCGTTGTAGCTTGATATATTTCTTCATATGTTTTTTCTTCTGCTGTTAATGCTCTTTTTTCATCTGTACCTTGCTCCCACATATTCCTCAGCATGTCATCTAAATTCAAATTAAGATGCATGACACTGACCTCATAATTTTCTCTGTTGCTTTGTATGTGGCCAAACAGAATCCATCCCAGGCTGGTATTTTGAGCACATGGAGTCCCTGGAGGACCTTTGATTACTTCACCTTTCATAATTTGGGCACATACGTCCACACCTAATAACATATCTATCCGTCCTGGTTGATTGAAGCCTGGATCTGCTAATACGAGGCCTTGGAGGTGTGAACAGTTCTTCAGGCAAATGGTTCGAGTTGGTAACTGACATGTAAGACGAGTTGACATTATGTAAACTTTGATATTGAGGTTAAAGTTTGCTTCGTATCTTGATAAAAGTTGTATTTCAGCAGCTTGCTTCAAAATTGTTTTGCTGCATCCCATGCCTGTAACTGTACCTTTAATAGCAGTGCGTTTCAGTTTAAGTGTCTGAGCAGCTCTTTCACTTATAAATGTGGCTTGTGAGCCATGGTCTATTAAGGCACGTAGTACAGCTGTATGTCCCAGTTGATCCCTGACAACTATGAGTGCTGTAGCCAAAAATGCTGTGGTGGTACTAGTAGCAAAGTGTGATGATAACTGAACATTTGATATTGTTGGATTTGCAGAGCTTCCTTGATCATTATTCTTCGCTTCGTGCGCTTGGTCATTGTCTGGTTGATTTGATGACGTCACCATGTTTTGGTGCACTAAAGAGTGGTGACGTTTATGACATATACGACAGGACATGTTGAGGCGACATTTCTTTGCAGAGTGTCCTGGGGCCAAACAATTAAAACACAGATTGTGGTTCTTTAGATATTGACACCTTTCTGTTGGTTCCATCTTAGTAAATTCCCTACAGTGACACAGTGTATGATTTTCTTTACACATTAGGCAACTCCTTAATTTAGACGTAGCCGCAGTAGCAACATGTAGCGTATTTTCTTTATTTCTTATTATCTTGTCCCTTGGTGAAGGTGTGATTAACTCTAATGTACGAAATTTCGATTGTAAAAACTTACAGAGATCCGCCCACAAAGGTAATTCGTCAGAATTTTCCCGGTAAGCAAACTCCTCCCATTCTCTGTGCGTCTCCGGGTCCAACTTCTGCACAACGAGAAATATAATTAATGGATCCCAAGAGTCGGTTGAAATTGTAAGAATTTTTAAGCTATTAATGCATTCTGTAGTGGTATCGAGAAGTGCTTTTATATAGTTTGTAGTTTGGGCAGGGATTTTCCTCTGCATAAATAATCTTTTCAATAGAGAATTTACTATTATACGTTTATTTCCGTAACGAGTTTTAAGCATCACCCATGACTGATCATAATTATCTTCTGTTACTTGAATATGCTTCAAAAGAGTTTCGGCTTCACCACTAAGGCTACTCTTTAAATAGGTAGTGAAGTTTTTGTACTTTACTAAGAGATGACTTGTTGTGCACTAACGACATAAATAGATCTTGAAATGCAGGCCATTCTTCGTAAATACCGGTGAAAGAAGGCAGTTGTATCCGTGGTAATTTGACTATTCCTTCATTGGATGTAATAGGGTTGGTAGGTATACTAGGATGCATTGATATCGGCTGTGTTAATGTTGACAATAAATCTCTTAGGTCGGCTTGTAAACATAAATATAGATCCTCATAAATAAAATAGTCTTCGTTTGCGAAATGAGGTATATTTTGCTTATTTTCTTTGGGAACACATTTTACAAGCTCTTGATGTGATTTTTTAAAAGAATTCCAATACTCTTCTATGCTTAGGACATTTCTTTAGGTTGTTCTGAGCCTTTTGTAATAATGCCGCAGTATTTTCCAATAAAGATAATATTTGTTCCGGAGTAGTGGCCATATTTATATAAACGTTCCACAAATGTATAAAACGTTCCACAAATGTAATATAAACAAACTAGTTTTACTTCGATAACTCAAATATGTAATTATTCAAACGTTCGTAAAATGTCTTATAACTTGCACAAGTCACACTCAGGTAAAAAAAGGTTCTTTTGTTCTCATCTCGACCGCCCGGTCCGTCCTTTTGTTTAGCACTTGATAGTTATAACGTCACAAGAGACACGTCGTTAGATCCGGCTCGATTATCGACCATATGTTTTGGTATTAAGGTTCTCTACTTTTACAGGGACTGATCACAGAAACAAGGTGTCAATGATACGGTGGTTTATTTGCTACTAAACATTTAAATTACATTTTACCTTATTAAAGACCTCACTCACACTTGTATACTGTTCATCTTACATACAACACACACTCATTACAATATTGCTCAAACAGCAGTATTAAAAATTAAGTTACCATTTTAAGCACTCATGTATGTATTAAGGCACGATTTTAGATTAAATTTAATTCCGTTATTTTTTCTGCTTTATATTATTTTTATTACTGTTTCATGCAAAAATGATTGAAATGATATAGTGGATTACATTTTTACGTAATTAAATTTACCATGTCATTGAATTTTTCATATTTTGTAGTTGTAACACATCAGTAATATATTCCATTGTTTTTTTTTTGTAGCAAATTTCATTCAAATGTATACAAGTATGACAAAGTTTATAAACAATTATCTGTTATTATAAGTTTTTTTTAACTTTTCTAAGAACAATAAATCTTAAAGTTGTGTATTAACCCTAATTAAAAATGAAAATTGTTTTTTTTTCATGTACAATTAAATTAATGTTTTGTTATATAAACTTGATAGAAGTTGTAGTGATTTTTCAATAATGTTGTGTATACAATAAAATATACACCATATTTCTAGCAAAAGTGATTAAGAAAAAAATAATGCACTTTTCGATGTGAAACTAATAAAACTATTCACGATGTAACTATTTTAACTTCTGTATAAATTTAAAAACATTTAAAAATATCACTTTAAGGTACATTTTACTTTACTTGCTTTCATATTATAACATATTATACAAGTTATCTTAAAATTAGGTGTGAATCACACCATGTGATCATAGTTTGATGTATTCGAAATCGTTTCCATATACGTAAAGGTGTCTCAAATTGCTTGCGTTGCTAAGATTACAGTTTGTATTTTGATCTGTCTTTTGTTTTGTGATTATGTTATTGTTATTGAAAATGATTACGTGGCTTAACATTGACTTCTTTGTTCTGTTCATCTTAATATGAAATGTAATAATTTGTTTTCGGTTTTATGTTGTTTAAACTTTTAAATCGTAAGGTTTTAACTATTATAATTTAATATTTTTGCGGAAAATAGTACCTACTTCCTTGCGTGGATTATGAAAATATTTGCTTCGCTTAACACTCCAGTAGGCGCGCCTCTATTTGGGACGTTAGTAGTCGCGCGCTCTACATTTGTAGAACATATTTAATGATGGAGTTTTAAAGCAAAGTTTCATAAATAAAAAGTATTTGTATAATATTGAGATAAACTTTATTATTATAAAGCTAAAAGAAACAAAACATAATCATATTTAAAAATAATAGGAGCTAAAAAACAGCCTTTTTGAAAATAACAAAAAAAAACGCTAAATTTATGCTCTTAGCATTATAAGTCTCATATTTCTTAATCTGTCATGTCTTCCACCTCCATTTCTTCGTTTTTGGCACAGTCGGGATAGAGAAGAACCTGATGGTCGGGACAAATCCACTTGTTACATATATAACAAAGCTTCCTGGTGGACTTGTTGCGCGCTCTGCCACAGAAAGAACATTTACCAACACGTCCGGTGTTTGAGGGTTGTGCTGGGCCCGGGTTCAACTCGGAGGGATCATTTAGACCCAAAAGAAGTTTTCCTTTTATTTTCAGGGATTTTGGAATGCTTTCGACAGTTATTCTGCGCTTTATGCACGGAGCGACAAGGTGAAAACCAATTTCGTACAAATAATCTTTTCGTGGCTTGTTACTGTAGCCCTTGTTTATTGTATACACAACATATCCGTTTATGGCACTTATATTCATCATATCAAAGAATACAGTGAGCGGCCAACGTCTAGAGTTTCTGGAAATCGATCTTCAGTGTCACTCTCTGCTATATCACTAGGATCAGTGTCTTCTCCCTCCAGCCATCTACTAATTCTCTCTTCTTCACTCCGCGAAGCCATTTCTCTGAAAAAAAGAGCCACTCTTGTTACTACTAACCTTACAATAAGTTGTACATGTCATAGCAATAAACATAAATAAACATAACAATAAATAAAAAGGTAATAAACATTATTACAACAAAAAACATGAAGGGCAACTTACGAGAAAAATGTCACGCGAGTGGTCGCGCGCTCTACAATCGTAGAAATTCCCTTTTGGCGCCAAATTTCATAGACATGCGGCCGCGTCCGTCGCTGCAAGGACACTACAATTGTTTATTGCCTAGGAATAGAGGAATACTGAGAATGTGAGCGTGAATGACCTTCAACTTGCGACAAAATTCAACAAAATGTACACGCGTTCTACAATAGTAGAACGCGCGACTACTGGAGTGTTAATACCATTTTGAAACTCATTATGTTATGTAGACAATTAAGTAATTAATTTAAAATTTTGTTTTGCCCATATTGTGAGCCTCAATCCCTGACTGACAATGATGTAACTAAATATTATACGAGACAATATGACATAATTTATAAAAGAAGTAAGTAAATTTATGGATAAGTTACGGAAATTATCATTATGAATGAAACATATTGATAGAAATATAAGTAGAAAGTGTGGCATACGTCAAGAAAAATAATCGGAGGTTAACATATCCATATACAATCGGCCCGATCAGCCGAGAGTTTGGAAAACCTAATAACCGATTAATTTTTAAAGTTTTTCGGATTCGATGAAATACGGAATGATTTTTAATGAATTGTTTAAAGAAATGTGACTTTATCAAGAATTGTATAGGAATATTGTCCATTATCTTGATCATGTATGTACGCCAAGCCATATACGTGAAAGTATTGGTTCAATTAATAAATTGTATGAGTTGAAATGCTATATATCGTCGTTGCGACTTTAAGATCTCTTATGTGTAATAATCAATGTTATGAGAAAATCGATAAAAACCGTCTACCGAAAAAAATATAATGAAACCAACTACAATAAAAAATATTGGTAAGAACTACATGATTTCCTGCTTTTAACTTTGCTATTGTTAGTTGAAATTAAAAAAAGTATCATAGTAAAAATTAAAATAAAATATTTTAGTTAACACATAAGAGATTTTGGTTGCGCTTTACGTATCACATCAGAGCTTTTGAACAAAAATGCCTATAATAATTAAAATAAAAAATTATTAATTTTACTGAAATATTTTATATTTCTCAGGAAACACTAATTAAGATAGGATAACAGTTGAATCACAAGTTAGAATAAAATAAAATTTACAAATCAAATTACCACAATTTTCTGAGGATGATTTGGATTTGACATCATACGGCTTTTGTGGTCGAGCTTGTCTTATCTGGGTGATGTAATCACTAGGAGCGAAAATTTGTGGTTTTATGTATTGCTCAATAGTGGAGTGAACACTATCCACTTCCATCATAGTATGCCCCTTTTCCAGGTAAAGTTGTTCGATACAAATTTTCCTTTGCGCCAAATCGCTTAGGACACTTGACAAAATTCGGTTCCAGTTTTGGTGTCCGCATCCATCAGAAATAATGATAACGCGCTCTGTTGAAAGTGGCAGGTTTTGAGAGTAATCTATTAAACAAGATGTGAATGCATTAGCAGTAACATTACCATCTGCTTCGTGTCAAAAGTAAATTGTCACGTTTTTGGATAGCACGTCATAAACCGTAAAGTTATGGCATTGTAATTTTTATTTGTAGTATAATTCACTATCCAATAGCTTTGGGGCAAGGAAAACACTTTGAACGTCGACTGTTATAACCACAGCCTTTTCGTTTGCGCTAGCTACGGCATTCTTGTTGGCTTTACGGGCTTCAATTTTCTTCTTTGAAAATGTTACCAGTTTTATAAATACAGCAAGTGTGGTACTGGTCTTTGTGAGGGTGGTGAATGCCGATATTTTCTTTAGTTATTACCTTCGAAAATGTCTTTTTAGAGGCAACTCTGTAATGGTTTTCAATACACAACTCCTTAAAAACTTGATACATGTGTAGTTCTGATCAAAAAGTTCATTCAACATAATTTTTTTGAGCTAGCCCGACAGTAATGGCTCGGCACTTTTGGTAAAATATCCAGCCATGTTTTAACAGTTCTTGTCAATTCAACGTTCCTTCCTGGCCTAACAATAATATTTGAACTTGATGCAGTGTTTTCTGCAGATTGTTCTTCAATATTTTCTTCGAAAGTATCAACCTCTTTATTTATTTATTTATTTATTTAAAACTTCATATACACGTGTGGTATATAGGCGGACTTAATGCCTAAGGCATTCTCTACCAGTCTACCTTGGGATGATGCAGAGATATAATGAAGTAGGAGTAATAAAAAGGTAATATGTTAATACTAAACTAAAATAACAAAAAAAAAATTGTAGCACATCGAAATAAAATACATAAGATATAAATGTTAATAAAATATAATATATATATATATATATATATATATATATATATATATATATATATATATATATATATATATATATATATATATATATATATATACTTATAAAATAAATTATGATAAAAATAATAAGATAATAAAAATGTATATTACTTAAGTACATATTAAAACGTCAGATGTATGTAAACTCATGAAGATATACAATTATAGAAATAATCAAATAAAATATATATATTTATATATAAAATATATATAAACTATTACTATGATGAATCTGCCAATTTATTAGTTAAGTATTCCCGAACCTTCATCTTGAACGCGTAACGATTGCTAGCCGTCCTGATTTCGAGAGGTAGTGCGTTCCAAAGGAGAATAGATTGAATGTGGAAAGAAGAATGAACAAGTCTAGAGCTATGGGAGGGACATAGGAGAAGAAGGTTGTTCGTAGAGCGGAGGTTTCTCTCATGACTAGCGCTAAGCAACTGAAAGTATGGAGATAAGTAGGAACAGGAAGTTGGAGACATCAGGATAGAATAAAGGGTAGTGAGTGCACGCAAACTACGGCGTTGACGAATAGGTAACCATTTTAATTGAGATCGATACGTGGATACATGGTCATACTTTCGAAGATTGAAAATGAATCGAATGCAGTTATTCAGAAGACGGTCATATTTATTGAGAAGATCTGCATTCAGGTCGAAATAACACACATCACCATAGTCGATTAGGGGAAAAATTAAGCTTTGCACAAGCGTTGCTTTGATTGCAGATGGCAGAAAATTTTTTAGGCGATAGAGAGAACGCAGGGTACCGGTAACTTTCTGGCTAACGGTCGTTGCTTGGTCTTTCCAACTCAAAGTAGAATCAATTAATAAACCTAGATCCTTCACAGTAGAACACAGTTGGATCTCAGTACTATTAAAAAAGATAGGAGGTAAAGCTACCGTTTTCAATCTATGAATCATCCGACAGCTACCAATTATTATGGCCTGACACTTCGAAGGGTTGACCATTAGGCCAAACCTGTCAGACCAGTTCTTAATATACTCAAGGTCCCTGTTAATTATGTCCACCGCTGTAGAAATATTGTCAATACTCGCTTGTGTGTACAGTTGCAAATCATCGGCATACAGATGATACGCAGACTGAAGGTCTTGGGTAATGAGATTAATAAATATAGAAAACAACAAAGGAGATAATATGCCGCCTTGAGGAACACCAGCATGTAAGTCAAGCCAGCTAGATGATAGCTCATCGATGCGAACCGACTGCTGGCGACCTCGAAGATATGATGAAAACCAATCCAGTGCTTCGGGTGAGACCATTGAAAGGGAAAGGATGGAAATTAGAAGGTCATGACTGATGGTATTAAAGGCGTTCGAGAAGTCAACTAAAACCAACACAGTGACTTTAGTATCCTCTATGCCTGCCCTAATATCACCAGTTACTTTCAGGAGTGCGGAAACGGTGCTATGACCGGGCCTAAAGCCAGACTGCAAGGGACTTAGTAAGTTATGACAGGAGATAAACTGCGAAAGTTGCTTGTGGACACAGGCCTCAAGGACCTTGGATAAGAAGGGAAGGATGGATATAGGTCGGAAATGATTGGGTAGAGTGGGATTTGTGATCTTTTGTAATGGAATAACGTAAACCTTACGCCACAAAGAAGGAAAGTCACCAGAATCCAAGGAGAAGTAAATGATGTGCGAGATAACAGGGAGGATATGGTCAAGTATAAAGATAATCATCCGTCGGCTGATGTTGTCGCAACCTACAGCATTAGATTTAATGGATAGGATTGTCTTCTTGATCTCATCCATAGCTACTGGAGAAAATTGAAAGAGATCAATATCGGGACGAGGTAAACCCATTAAGTGTTCAATAGTAAGACGCTTGGTCTGGTGATCAAGAGGACTGTTGGAGACAAAATGAAAATTAATATCATCCAGACCAATCGTCTTCTGAAACTCACAACGTTGTCGTTTACCGATACCTAAGGTTCCAAGGAACTTCCAGATATTAGCAGGGGAAGAAGATGAGATGTTACTAAGAATAAATCGGCGTTTGGCGTTGCGTATCATCTGATTGCACCGGTTCCTTGCAACTTTATAAAGAGTCCAGTTCTCATCACATCGATCTTTTCTAAATTTGCCAAAAGCCCGATCCCTACGTCTCATCGCAATTCGAACCCCAATCGTCATCCATGGCGCAGGTGGACGCTTGAGCTTCACTTTTTTAATCGGAGCATGTACATCATATAGCCTAAGGATAGCTTCATTCAAAGCCTCTATCTTTTCGTCCACAGTGGATGCAGAAACCACGCTGTTCCAGTTTATTTTGGATGCATCCATGCAAAGTTTTTCAACGTCTAAGCGACCAAAACAACGCATGTGAAGAGTTTTAGCTGGAGGTTTAGGAGGTTTTAGGACGTAAGAAATGAATATGAGGTCATGATAGGAGAAAGCAGGTGCAAAGTGCTGACCGTGGGAGAAGACAAGAGAAGGAGCAGAGGTAAGGATTAAGTCAAGCCAGGTATCCTCTACATCAATATTGTGGTGAGTGGCTTGTAAAGGTAAAATGTGGAGGCCAACCGACTCGACAATGTGAAGGAGCTTAGAGAAACGGGATGAGTGCGGAGTCAGGAGGTCTGTATTAAAATCGCCCATGATAATGTGATGTGAGTATTCGGACCCCAAGGATTCCAGAATCGTTTCAAGACTGGAGAAGTAATCGACAGAAGGAGGACAGTAAACAACACCAAGAATCAATTTAGCTCCTTTTACGCAAACTTCAAGGAATAGAAATTCTGCAGATGCAGTATAATAAGGGGAAGAAGAAGCTACAATTTTATAAGAGAAGTCGCAACGAAGATATATAGCGACCCCACCCCCTGTCCTATCAACTCGATCGTTTCGTATCAAACTGAAGCCAGAGAGAGGGTAAGAAGTAGAAGGAAGATGGGGCTTAAACCAAGTCTCCGAGATCAAGACGGCATGAACATCAGCGTCAGTAAAAGCCTCAGTCAGGTCACTGTAGTGACTAGGTACGCTTTGTGCATTAATGTGGCAAACATTAAACAAGGAGCGAGATTGTTCGAATTCACGTCGCACAAAATCCCCTAGCGTTTCAGTAAACGAGCAATAACTGTCATTTGATGAACAAAACTCGTTGGCAGAAAGAAAAGAATCATCATCGGAACTCATCTATATGTAATAGAATATACAAATAAATAAATAATATAGACCCAAATGGTAAGAATAAATAATATAGTATAATTAAAATTATAAAACGTAAAAAATAGTAATAATTTCGACTACAAATTGCTATCCCTGCACCACCCGCCAGCTAACACACTCCAAAATTAAAAGACTATTATAATACACAAAACGATAAAAATTGTTTTCAAGACAGCTACAACTAAACTAGTAAACTAAGGTACATTAAGAATACTGATAATAAATAACATTAACTTAGAACAATTAAAAAGTATCATAGAAAAGTGTCTCATAGACGACATATATACTGTGGCCAAAAGACTTTGTATCCATGGTCATGTATTAATAAAAAAAAAAACCTTCGCACGACAAAATTAACTTGCACTATGCACTTGCTACAGATCTATTAATCTATGGACAAAATATAGCCTAAAGCAAAGCAATTTAATATGTTCAAAAACAAATAGAACTTAGGTTAAAATAATTTAAAGTTAAAGGTACTCTGTGTTTAAAGTGAATAATATGTACAAGTTATAGTAAATGATGTTAAACGAATAACTATTAAAATTATAAATTAAGTAATATATTTAAAAAAAATATGTAAATAAATAAGAAAGTAAGGTTACATAAAAGAAAAGCAAGTTTTAATACGGTGGATAGAAAGTAATAATACTATTACTA